TCATTTTTGGTTTGCAGGTTTAGCCCAAAGCAGGGGGCCCAGTTTCTCTTTGAATCAGAGACCTGCGTGTTGGCCGTGTGGCCTCACTTTGAGTTCCAGGTGCCTGAGAGGCGCGTCTGGCGGGGAAGTAGCCTGCGAATCCTGCGACAGACAGTATGTAAGCATGCCCAAGTCACACCTCACGCCAGGCGTGCCTCAAGATCAACAGGTCGATCAGGCTCCTGCGAGCTAGGGACTTGTGTGCTGGCGCCAGCTGGGGGATCCACTCCTACAAATGGAAGGGATACATGTACAGCCACTCCGGCGTCGCTCAGCTTCCGCTTGGCTTGAAAAAACAGACAGTGCCATCCGTCCCTGAGCCTTCATCCTGTAGGTGAAGTCCTGCTGACGCAGTTTCGCTGTACTTTTACAACCCCCTTCTCCGAAACATCCTGATAATGACTGGACTTCAGGGGTCGTTCAGGACTGAATGTGTGAAGTTTCTTGCAGCAGCGCACACCACAGAATGCATGAGGGCGTGCCCCAAGCGGCCCTCTGACGCAAGCCTGCGAACTGTCTTGTGCTGGGCTGCCTATACCACATGATTCAGCTTCGCCTGCAAATGGTTGTTTTCGTCTAGTTTCTTTAATGTCCTTTCTCTTGCAACTGCGTTTACCCCTACATGCACGTTGTGTCATACGGAAGACGATGGCGCAAAGTATCACGATTGTTTCAACCGTGCAAGCTTCAACAAGTAGTGTAAGTAGCGTCGAAGGCGGGTAACACTGTCTAGCTGTCTGGCTCGACCTGCACCGCACCGTCTCAGGTCGATGATTGCTTGCAGCTACCTTTCACCGTTGCTGAGCAAAGCCAGCGGAGAGGTCAAAACAATCAGGGCAGTCGGCTGCATTGTCTCTCAACACGTCTGCCACGGCTGAAGCCTTCTATTGTCAGAACAGGTTGAGAGCACGACAGGGTAATATGATAGATGCGCACCGGCTTGGACGTAGAAACACCCCCGCGGTGAGACTCCGCCCAGAAGGGGTGGATAACCAGGGGGCGTTGTTGCATACATTTTTACATACATACATGTGTATATATATATATATACACACTTGTATATTCCCCCACGCCGCGCCTCGGAAAACTTTCCCCTGCGCGTTTCCCGCTGTGATGCGGTGCATATTTTGCGCTCATGTCCGTTTATTTACGAGGGATCCCTCGGGCACCGTCCCCCCCTTTATGGTTTCGAAAGCCAGGAATCGTGCCAGTACTTGGCTTGGGTGAAAGCAATCTGGCCGTCCGGCTGAGTCCCGCCGGTATATGGGGGGCCGCATTGCAAAAAGGATTTTGGCCGTGATCAAGTCTCGGGGAGGCCTTCTATTTCACGCGTCGGAATGCCACATCCTGCAAGGCGAGACTGAAATTCCTGGAACCCCGGCGCGCCTTGGAGGCCTCTTTGGGAATACAGTGAAGAGAGAGTGAAGAGTGAGCAATACTGATACTGATAAGGGTCTTCATACGGATGCAAGGCAAGTCGCACTGTTCGTACCTTGCTTTGAGCTGCCCTCAACTCAGCGGAGTCCAGTCTGCCAGGTCAAGTCTTACCGCAATACAGCGAGTTGAGTAGACTCCTAGACATGTTTCACACTGTGTCGAATGCGTGCCGCTTGAAAGCCATGCTTTGAGCTGTGTCGTCGTAGGCAACGGAGGTAAGAGGAGCCTGCAGCGAAGATTTTCACAGGAACAAACTGCCCTTTGAAACAGCCTATGGCTTGGTGACATGCAGTATGACCCGCAAGCGCCAATGGCAGGCAAACTTACTTCGGAAGATCGGAGAAGACAAGTTGCCTGCATGTAACAATCGGAGTGCATTACCATGGCCCAGAAGCCATTCTGGGCTATGCAACTTGGACGACTCGGTACACATGGCGGCAGTACCGGATATGCAGTAGGTCATCAATCCTCAATGTTGCGGGCTTGCTTCTGCAGGGTTGTTGCGCGAACTCACTGCACATGCTTGCTTCCATCCCTGCCAGCAGGATTCGCCGAGTGGAGGTCGCGATGGCCTGAGACTGCCGAATGCACGTGTGACGTTACAAGTCGGAAGTTCCATGTAGTTGCCACTCAGGGGGTAGCAGAGCTTCGTTGGCCGAGAGGTGGCCATGTTCTTGCTTCTCTTCGTCAGCCCACGAATAATTCCACTACTCGTTGCAGGATAGATGAGCAGCTCGCCGTGCAGCTCAACTCTCGCCTAGAGGCTGATCCTCAATCGGTCCCCACACCACTGCTGCATGTTTGCAAGGGTACGGTGATATTCCGAACATGCTGTCCCCAGACTATCAAGCCTTGGCCATAGGCCTTGAGCCACTGGTGCCTTTGTGCCAGGGGATGACTTCTCGCATGACAGGCGTTACTGCTACTTGAGTTGGATAAGCTCGGATGGGTTCTCTTGAGTTGAGCCTAAGTGCCCCGAATGAGTTGCTGCCAACTGATGCACCAGTTTAGTATGTTCGTAAGCCATTCTTTTGCATGGCTCCTGTCATGATCTTCGATACTTGATTATTCATACATCTCCTAACGCAAGAATCGTGACAAGCTCTGGTCGTGTTGGCCTCTTATCGTTTCTTGGGCTTCTTGGGTTCTCCGCGAGAGTTCCGTCGCAAGACTTGTATGGGGGCATGGAACCACAGGGGTCCCAGCACAGCACATTTCCAAGCGACCCCTTGCCTTGACCGGAGCGATTTATGCAGACTCGAGCCACCAGGAGCACTCCCGTTCTGTCGGCCTGGAGCTGGAAAACATGCGAAAAACTATGTCGCGCCCTCGAGACAGCACCACAGTGATGCTGGCAGTGCTGTGCATTGCAGCAGCATGAGTCGGTGGCACCTGCAAAAGAACGTCGGCAAGTAATCAGCCAGTTGTCGCGCAAATTACGCATCCGGCAAGACGTTGAGCTGTGCTGGCTGCAGGTTTGGCAGCCACATGCGACCTTCATAATCGTAGATTATCGATTCCCTTTCGGCTTGAAGCTCTGGACATAATGCGCACTCCAGCAACTGACACTGTTTCTTGCTACTGGTTTTCACTCGCCATGTTGCGCCGCATAGCGCGATCGCCACCCGGCGGATGTCTCGGTGCAGCCCGTGGCTTCTCGCGGCGGGAGGCATGCTTGACCGGTATGCACAACTGATTGTTTTGTACTTGCTTCCCGGAGAACGGAAGACGAATGCTGCAATCAGTAGGTTTGGCTGACAGCAGCGAATCCGCCAACTCACTCCCGACTAACTCTCACCAACCAATCTTGCACCGTTGCAACCATGTCGGCGCTTCGCGTCTCCATGGGCTCAGATGTCCTCGCTGCCCCGGGGCATGCCTGGCAAAGGCCCTGAAGAGGCAGGCAGATTGGGTGCGCAGTGCAGTCCTTCAGGCTTGGGATTGGTCAATAGGCATAAAAGCGGCCCTTTTGCGAAAGCACCGAGGGAACTGATCTTGCGACTTAGATTCGAGAAAATGCGCGATTGCAACCAACAAGTGGCGAAAGCAACTTGTCGGGACTAAGTCTCTGACAGACTCTGACATGATAACCCCCCCCCCGATGAGAGAATCAATCCCTGCAGCAAGAGCCTCCATCTGCCATGCCTGGCACTTGATTCTGATACGCAGGAGGAGGACATCGGCAACTGCCCAATGTTCGCACCACGTCAAGGCTGGAACATCCCTAACCAGCTGTCGTGAGTCCTGATGGTGTACTGAGTTGACTTCTCTGGACTTGATTAGAGCACAAAGTCGTACAATGTCGCATGCAAAGGAACCCGGCAGTGTGCACACATGATGTCGGCCGCCAGGCAAGGTAATGCGCGAGTAGAGACATGCGTGCAGGGGATTCTTGGAACAGAAATGGACTCGTGCATGCACGGCCGCATGCCTTAAGCATGGAGGGCCTCACCTCAGACCGAAGACGGGAGACCAGAACCGGCCAAATTGAACACTTGCACCTTTCCTGCAGCTCCATCCGCCGCGGAAGCGCCTGCTCCGAAGTCTCGGATGCTGCGGCTGTTCAGGCTGACACCCTGCCTAAGTAAACATCGGTTGTGATCAGAGCATGACACTAGGCCTTGCAAGGAGGTTTAGCTTCAGTGCGTGCAAGTCAGCGAGATGAACAGTTGTATTAATCTGTACAAGCTGCAACTGCCAGGCAGAACTTGTCAGGCCATGGGGCCTTCGCCTTCTGAATTTCAGAATTCTCGTTTGTTTGCTGTTTTTGCAATTATGACGGATAAAGGGTTGCTGCTCTTCTTCATTTCGGAGGTGTGATGAGACAAACCATGACATGTGGGTGTGTGTGTGAAGGTGCTACTTTAATTGGCTTGCGGATGTGTTTCCCTAGGCCTCCTTCCAGAACATGGAGCTGTCAGCGTTGGCACGCAGATTCACCCACTGAGACCAGGATGCGCGTTGTGTTGCCAGGATGGTGCCAAAGGATGTTGTCCAAAGCATCCACTCCAGCTACTGGCTGCTCGTCGGAGGCCTGCTCTGATCTTCCTGCTCGCACCTAGGGACCTTGGGAGGTGGCTTTGGCCCTTTCGCTTCTCCAGGCCCCTTGCCACGGCACTTGGTGGAACGAGGCATGGGCTATGAGTTCAACCTGGCGCCTCGGCTGGCGATTGATTCCAGCCGCTTTGCAAACGAGGGAAGTCTGAAGCGATATTGCAAGAAATTGCAAGAACAGTTGAAATGCTAGTCCATTGCTAAAGTGGTCAGGATCAACAGGAGTTCAGTCCCGAATCCGTCCGGCGCCTGAATCTCCGGAGGCTTTCCTGGAACTTCTCATGGTCTATCAAGTCTAGAACTCCACTTCTCTGGCTTTCGTGCCGCTGCTTCTGTCCCTGTCGAGCTACGACCGGACTTCTCGGTTTGCGGCTCGCAGCAGGGTCACGCGATATGCTCTTCGTGTTGCAGCTAGAGTCCTTAGGCAGCAACATCCGCAGGCCACAAGGAGAAACGCCTGCACATGTCGAGGGGTTCATCTTTGAGCACAGCAGACCTGCCAAAGCGGGCTGTTTTGAAGTCACTCCGGCATAGGGCTTGGATGGTGATTGGTTTGATTGTTCGACAGATTTGTGGTGTCTCGGGTTCCGCAGACGTCCTTGGTCGCACCTGGTTGTCGATGGCATACAGGTGAAACCTGTGCGTAGATTTTGTACACGTCCTTTCCCAAACCTCTCGGACGTGAAGCTCAACTCGATCCGAGCAAGTCATCTTCATCCGCTTGGCGTTCCGCATGGTGGTCTTCGGAATTGGAGCCACGATCCTCGCACTGCTGCTTGTCCAAGGCTTGCAGACTTGCATTGTGTATCGGTCATGATACTTTGCAGGGACAGAGGTGCAACAGCACTTGGAAGTCGTTGCGGGAACCCCGAAAGGCCTGAACCGGCGAACTCAAGCCAGAAACAGTTCTTCTCAGTTATTGATATGTCAGGATAAGTTTTGCATGAATCCGACGACTGATGCCGACAATTGCGGGTCACTGAACAATTGGCGGATGAAGGCTCGGGTTGTACATTGTTTGACTTCAGCAGATAGGTTCGCGGCATCGTAACGATGAAAGCTTCTTTTGGTGGATTCAGGAGGCAGTTGCTATCGTTCAACCCAACAGAAGGCCTGACCTCAAGACCTCAGCCCCAAACTGCATGTCAAAGGACAGGCCGTCGCCTTTGGCATCGCTACCGGGCACCACCGGAAGAGACTGCCTCCAGCCCAACTGCTTGAAGCTATCGGCGAAGGCCGCTCAAGCTGTACAGAGACCCGTACAAACTTCAACGGGAGGTTCGTAGCCGCTGCAAAGCGTGCGAATGGCAGCTGAGCTCCTTGAGTCGGATCGATTCGAGATCGAACTTTTCAAGACGATGCGTGCATGCTTCCCATGCCCTTGGCCAGACATCGACAACAAAAAGATGGGCCGCATGCAATGATGAATGCTCAGATGATCGGCAGCACGTGTTGCTGCTGACTACAATCTTTCGTTGTAGCAGCCTGGCTCTGTCTGGAACCTTTCCTCAACTGTGCTCAGGCTTGCACTTGCCGCGGCCCCAAGGCTGATGGATCGTTCCATACCGGCGGCTCCTGCCTTTGTAGTAATAGATACTACTACTACTACTACTACTACTACTGCTACTACTACTACTACTACCACCAGCCGCTGGTACGACGGGTTGAACCTGAGTCCTTAGGTGAGCCGCGGCGTGCGATTCCTTGCGATAGTTTGTGGTTCCGGAGTCTGACTGGTCGAAAGCCGAAGAAGCACTAAGAGAAGGATACGGCATAGAAGGACAACCCCCTGACTGAAGCAGCTCCACTCCAGATGCACGCGTCCTTTAGGTCCGAACCGAGCTGGCGAAGGCCTTCCGAACCGAGGCTGCGCCTGGCACCTAAGACTTTGAGACGACTATGCCTTCGTTGGAGGGCCGTGGTGCTTGAAGAGTGTTAGGATTTGGCTTGTAGCATGTGGCAGTAGTCTAACAAGTAGAACAGCTAGGATTGGAACGGAGCGCTCGCGCGGACCTGCACAGACATACCCTTCCGGAGTTCTAGTTCGTTCCTGCTTCCCGAGAGCAAGCGGCTCTCGCTGGTTTTCCATGCCTAGCATTGTTGGGAGGCGGCCGCGATAAGCTCTATGGATGAGCAGCTGAAGCGCAAGATGCAGGCCCACACACTGCAGAATGAGTCCTCTCGAGGCCCATGCTTTGTCGTGGCCAGCTCCAGTCTCTGCACACCAAGAAGTCTCCTTGTGCCAGGCATCAGCAGCTTGTGTCAACCTCAGACTGGCCCTGCCAAGCCTTATTGAGATCGGGCCTGCATATGGAGTCCGGAAGTGCAATATGCAACGCAGCAGAGAGAGCACTCAAGATTCTCACAAGCGGTGATGGAGAGGTAAATCCCACATGTAGCCCTCGATTCTGCATCTCTGTATGGCATCCATGGCAAAGTGGAGCTCGATTGCTTATGGTTCATGGAGACTTGAAGAATGGCCCAATTGCAAGCTGAAGTTGAAGCGCTTCAGGTATTCAAAATCGATCACTGAATACACGAGACCGCAGGAACTAAGGCGAACAACAAATCTGAATCTGCCGGCACCGTTGCACAAAGGACACTGATATCAACGTACCAAGGAGCTCCTGTGTGCCGGCGATGTGATCGCAGAATTGCCGAGGGCTGACTCTTTGCCTTTAGCTTCTGTGCAAAGTCCGGATGCTGTTGTTCAACCTGTGTTCGGCGCATGCAGCTGCTAATGCATTTGCATGTGAAAAATATGTTTGTTTCGGAATTGTTTTTCTTACGACAACGTCTCCTGGGGTCCTGGACGATTCGTTGTTTGTAGGGGTTCACTGCAGTTTGAATGAAGAACTTAATAACCTTTACAGTCACGCAAGGTGAAGACAAAATCTTGTCTTGAATATGTTTGAAAAAACTTCTGATTTGATCTGTTTGAAATTATCATATCATGACGGGTTTCTAGTCATATTAGATATCATGTTCTAGGAAAGGACGGTGCAATTTTCTTGAATGAGTGGCAAGCCCCCGGAGCGCAGAGGCAGTATAAACGTGCTGAAAAATAGTTTTTCCGAAAAATTAAACTCCACTCCACCCCTCCACTCCCTAAGCCCTCCACCCCTCCATCCCAACCACCAGCCCTCCACCCGCGCGCTGCCAATTAGATATAATGTGATATCGGGTTCGAGGTTGTTCTCGGGGTCGCTGCAGGTACAGGACTAAATGTTTTCAGGGTTTCGGGTGTTAGCAATTCTAGGATGGGGCTCGCAGCTTTTAGTGCATGGAAAGGTTTCTGGGTGGCTTCGGATCTTTTGTGAGAGGGGAATGATAGGCTGATGGGGTTGGGTTCAAGTCAGGCCTAAACCCTTCAAGTTGCTCAGAGGGATACATTAATTAACTTTATAGGGAATTTGAACCCGGAGGCTTCGCGACGACCTGTATAGCTTTCTCCGTAGTTTGCAGCCCCCACCATTGAGATTGAGAGTTCAGGGCGTAAGTGTAACGTGGGCACTGGCACTTGGTTTGTGTGGGGTGGAGAGTGGAAGGTGGAGGGGGAGGGATGGAAGGATGGAGAGGCGGAGTGTACGTGGAAGGATGGAATGGAGGTTGAAGGCGGAGAGGTGGGAAGCGTGGAGCTAAGGCCAGTGAGGGGAATAGAGAGATTTTCTTATCGAAAATGACTTTTTAGATCCCAGGAAACTGACAGTGATAATATAAAATAATTGAATAGAATAATATAATTTAATAAACAAATCTCTTTCTGCATAGAAAAATCGAAGATATTGATAAAAATCGAATTAAAGAGAAAAAAGACAAAAAAATGCATTCGATTTATTTTTGATTTGAATGGAGAAGTAAATAACTAATTTAGGTTATATTTTTTTGAAAACATGATTTTTTTAAATTATTCTACGCTAATTTACATATGCATATAATATCGGTATATGATTATAAATAATTCTATTTTTTTTGAAGGCTTATATTCTAAATAATAAAATAAATTGTGCACGATTTAAATAAGATTTGAAATTATCTTTAAACTTTTTCCAAAAAATAATTCTGGAAAAAATAAAAAATTAAATTTAGAATAACGAAGAGAAGCTAATAGAATTCGATAAGATTACGGAATTGTGGGTATAAGGTGATAAGTCGAAAGACGTGATATTATCGAAAGATATTAGTGGTATATTAATTGAATCTAATGATTTCTTTTTTTCTAAAAAGTAGTATATAAAATTCCGAAGGAGGAGTAGAAAAATCTAGAAAAAATGATTTTCGAAGATATTGAAATATTGAAAGAAATTTCATATATATGTATAATATTCATTATTTAATTCATAGATTATTTTATAGATTATCTATCTTTTTTTAATATTTATCGTAGATTTCGATTATTATATATATATAAATATATATCATATTTCATATTTATATATTGATTAAAAGAATAATTTGACAAAATTTTCGGAATCGTTAGATTCGTTGAATATAAAAATTTCTTCTGATTTTCTTGATTTTATAAAAGAATTTAAATTATAGATAACAATTTTTTCGGAAAT